CAGCTATACAGCCTCTAAGGAACCTAGGGAAGAGGAAAGAAGAGTACCTGACACAAGTGAGGGGCAGGGAGACCAACCACATGATTCCATTTCAGAATCGAGCCAAGAGCAGATCAAACAAGACACTGCGTTCTGTGAAGATGGAAAATTCAATCGTGTTCAATCCCTTGACTCTGGCTTCTAGCAGCTCACTTGCTTTGACTCACTGTGATCAGTGGGAGGAGGTAGAAGGCTGAAGGTCCACATGTAAAATATAAAATGACACAGCCCACTGTCATTAGTCAGTATGATGGGAGGTGTCAGAGAGAGGGAGGAAGACAGTGGGTCTGAATTCCTTATTCAGATGACACCCCATCTTTGGATCTCACTTTTCCCATTGGTACAAAGAAGAGTATCCACCTTTGATATCTTCTGGTGCTGTGCATAGCCTGTGTTGCTCATGACCCAATGATGTGTAAAGTACATTAGGAGGGCAGGAGACAGCCAGATCATGACTATCACCCAGAAGTGAGATCACTGCAATATAATGAACATGCAGTAGCTGGCATCACACCTGGAATGTGGAAGAGAAACAATGCACATGCTTGGCTTATTCAATGAACATATATGCATGTGACCATTTCCCTTTGGGCATATGAGTATGCATATACATATATGCTCACACCTTCTCTTAAGGATGGAAATATAAACTTGGCTGCTGTGATGGAAATAACAATGCAAGTGAGGAAATTAATTCAGAGTGGATCTTCCCTCACATCCCAGCAGTTAGGCAATCTCTAACTTCAAAAACCAGTCATCACAAATTTCTTGGAATAATTGTTTTCCCAGGACACCTTAGTACAAGCAGAAATAAGTCTGCAAAGGTGTGATGTCATGGTTAACAACAGCAAAAGCCAACTTTCCATATCTGATTTTGCTTCCACCTTCTTGGTCAAGAATGATAGTTTTCAGTCTGAAAAGTTCCAGAAAGAATATTGCTAAGAGGGAAGTGAAGCCTGGATGAGTGGAGAAGATGAGAAAATAATGAAGCAGCCAGGGATATAAATGCTCTCAGTGCTTTGGACCCAGGAATCAGTTCCCTTATTGATATATTTGTCTCAAGAATCTTGTACGCTGGGAAAGGTGCTAGAAGCAGACACCTGAAGTTCTGATTTAAAAAAAAATAAGAAGGAAGGAATTACATAAACTATGTAGAAGTAGCTTGACATCTTGGCTGGCTAAATTCTAAAGTTCATTTTCAAAGAGCAGAGACCACCAAGAACCAGGAAGGATTCACCAGGCAGAAGGTATACAGATGAATTTCATTTTCTTTTTGTTCAAGTTCTTGAGGCAATTTAGGCAAAGCCAGAGATAAAGCACATCTGGATCATCACCAAGTCCCTTATATTCCTGTGGACAAGACAGAAACATGTGCCTTGGGTGTCAAGACAATTGCCAGAACTTGTTGCTCATTAAATGATCATGTCCCATAGGTGCCTATTTAGGGTTCTCAAGGGCCAGGAGACCCCAAAAGTGTGTTACAGGCCTCTGACTTTGGTTCCAACTGTGCAATGTTTTCATCAATGAAATGATGAAAAATAATAGAAGCTTGCTTTTCAGATCTGAGATGATACTAAATTAAGAAGGAAAGTGAGGCTGTGAGGTGCTACAATCAATAGTTATAAAAATCCCAACAATAGAGAAGAGCATTTCCTATTTTCAAAACTGTGAAACCCTTTATTCAAATGGAAATCTGATGCAGAAATACAATACATAAACCCAAGGACCGAGGAGCTGCTGTTTCTGAAATGGGAGAGAAAACCTGAGACCCGACTACTAAATCCCTTTACACCATTGCCCTCCCCACCTTTCACAGATGCCCCTCAGTGACCCCATGGGGCCCTGACACTTACAAGGGACAATCTATCAAGAAGAAATTCAACAGTCACATCAAATCTACAAAGGGCAGAAAGGTACATAGCTCATTCTTACTTTTGCCTTTTGAGATTAAGAAATAAAGAAGTTTGTAGGTTCTCTGAACAGGGGAAGAAGTATGCGCACAACTAGGGAAAAAAGACTCCATGTTTCAGTGGAAATGATTCTGGAACAATGACTACACTGGATCAAGGGAATGAGGTTGAACAGTGGCATATGTCAAATGACTCTGAGGCTTTACTTTAGAACCTGAAGCTGAAGGGCCATGGCACCAGAAGAGTGAGTCACATGGTCTGCGGATTCTCGATCTGCTCTGGGGGGAGATCAGCCCACTCCAGAGTATGTGGAACAGCTATCAGCACTGCACTTCAGGGAGATAAGAGACAAAGTGGGGAGTGTTCAGTTGGGAGGGACAAGGATGGCGGAGGGTGTCTCAAAGCAATCTCATTATTTTGGGACAGCTGAAGAGACTGGGGCTGTGGATATTAAGGGGATGAAGAGTGGGGATCTAGGAAAGACCAGAAATGATAGTCATTTTCAAGTAGTTAAAGGGAAATCAACTTTGGTTTGTTCCAAGTGGCTCCAGGGGACAGGATAAAGACTGATGGGTGGAAGATGGAAGCAGACATCAGAGGAAGGACCTCCCAATGGTCAGTACCAATTAGACAGAGTGGGCCTCCTGGAGGGACACGAAACTCCAATCACAAAGGTGTGTGACTGTGGCCTGGGGACCTGTTTGCAAGGCTGCTAAAGCCTGGCTTCATGTTTGATTGGAATAGATGCCTCCTAATTCTAAAAGCAAGGATGTTAAATAAATTCCCAATTATATAGAATCCTAAACCTACCAAACTCCAAACAACCAGAATATTTGTCATAATACTGAGAAATAACAAGTGACATTTATTAAAATGGTCCCAAGGAGTGCCTGGGTAGCTGAGTTGGTTGAGTGTCTGACTCTTGATTTCAGCTTGGGTCATGATCGCAGGGTCCTGAAATCAAACCCTCCATCAGGCTCCATGTTCAGCATGGAGTCTGCTTGTCCCTCTCCCTCTGCTCCTCCTCCTGCTCTCTTTCTCTCTCTCTCTCTTTCAAATAAATAAGTAAGATCTTTAAAAAAATAAAAATTGAAAAAATAAAATGGTCCTGAGATTGTGCAAATTTCCAAAAGGATGTTCATAAAGCAAGATGGATCATGTCCAGGAGAAAGGATTCTAGTGGAGAGTGCCATTATTTGGTGTGCTATCCATGCTCTGTGTAATCACTGTTGGCCACAACTGGTAATGAATCTGGACACCCCATTCCAAAAACAGTCTAGACAAAGGAGTTAACCACATCAAATGCGATTCCTTCCAAAACTCTGCGTGTATGTATTTCCACAGTTAGATACATCTATGCAAATTAGTTCTTCAGTAATAAACAAAAGTACACATCAACTTATTTTTGAAGATTCTGATCACATAATACTTTTTCGAAAATGCATTTGCCATTGGATCATTATGTTTTTGCAGCACCTTCAACTATGAAGGATGCTAGGTTGCGATAGTGCCTGTATTCCCACACGCCCAGCGCTGCAATCACGTTAACACTTTATTCTTGCCCATTACACTCGTTGACTATCAATGCTGCTCAAACCCTTTTGATACCCCTTAAAAATGAGTTGTCACACTGTCCCTATCCTCTCCCGGAGCTGATCCATTAGTTGGATCATATCACATGTCCTGTAAGGTCCAGGAACCTGTCGTGGAGAGGGGCTGAGAGCTGGTTACCCATGCTTATCAGGAACTATCAGCACCCAAATGTCTAATAACCAGCAGAGGGTGTGTGACTCTTGAACGGCTATCACCCTAGTTGACCTCAGAGTGCTCCCTGGAGCATAGGAGAGCTTGCGGCTTAAGCCTCTGCCAGTGATTCTTCAGCTACACAGCTGCAGGCTCCAAGAACTGCTTTCTTGGTCCAGGGACACGTGAACCTGGCCAGGGTCTGACCAGACACCACTTAGGTCCCACCCAATTCTAGAACTCCGTGAGTTAGTATGCAAAAGTAACACGCTAGGATGTTTACGGAGATACCCAGCAGATATTTTATCAGTGCGCACGCCGACCATGTCAACACTTACTTGCCATTTCATGGTACGTTTACATTAAAAGAAGGAGGGACTATTTGCTTCACAAGATATTCAGTTTGGCCTATATAAATGATTTCTTCTGGCTTAAAAGCCCATGAGTGTTTTGTTTTATGCAAAGTGTCAGTATGTGATTTATTTTAGACATAAACTTATCTAGATTATGCAAAACATAATCGGATGTGCCTGTTTGAGTTCACCTACATTGTCACTAACGGTGCAACCCTGGCAATTCATTTTTTCATTTGACCTCTGGCCCTCAGTGCATTTCCGTGTAGAGTAAAAGGATAGGTTTAGAGATTGATTTTTCATGTCAATCCAGTTCTGATTTCTGAGGCACATTCATATTGAACAGAGCAAAGCATAGCTCTCTATAGACTTTATACTCGTAAATGTATTGTTTTTTAAAATCCACCATTGTGAAAAACATTAGCAAGAAACATAGTTCCCTGCCCCCGCCGCCGAATATACCGCAGTAGCTCAGAAATAATTCCAGAAATGGGAAGACTTGGAAATATATATTTATAATATACAAGCAGCTTGATTCCCAAAGGAGTTGGCAACATACTCATACACTTTGAAAATAATATTCCCCAGCTTGCATCATAGCTCATTTGATCTTGCACATTTCCAATATGGAAAATAAAAACCCCTGGAGGCAGAGTACAGATTAACTTTGAGAATGAGGAGAGATATAAAGACCATAAACACGAGAGACAGCCCACTAAAGGCAAGGGGGAAATGCTCTATGATTTTCTCAATATTCCCTCCTATTCAGTCCTTAATTATTCATCAGGGCCTAGTACCTACACTCCGTGGCCTGCAAATCCTATGTCTGAGGCTGGGCTGAGGACAGGGTCCCCAGTGGAAGGCTATCTGGGAATCCCTTATTATTAAAGCTCCGAGAAATGCAGGCCCCGTGGCCAGTCCTGGCATCAAAACCAAATAGCTCCCCAGGACTTACCAGTGGCTCTGCTAGTCCCGTCCTGCCCAGGTGATGGTTCTGCTGTTCGTGAACAGAGGATTGGCAGGTCAGGGAGCTGGGAGGAAATGTAATTTACTGCATCTGGTAGCAGAGAACAGGGAATACAATTAGGCACAGTGTCGGGAGGCCCAGTGGGTTCACTGCCGAAACAGCAGCTTGTCTGCCCTACATAATGGACCTCGGAGGCAGCCACTAAACGAGAGGATCAGGGTAAACAAAGACAAGCATTTGCCCAGTGACTGGTATTCAGCAGAGTAGCTGAGGTAGGAGGGATCCTGGCCAGAGAGCTCAAGCCCCAGGACTGCTCTATGTATTAAAAGATTCATCAGAAAGCTCTAGATTCTAAGAGTACAATGAGTTCGGTGGGGGGGGCAGAGGGGGGCAGGGAAGGGGATGGGCTAATGAGAGCCATTATCAACTTGGTGGGATTGACTAAACATGGGACATCAAACTAGAAATATGCCTTCAACAGTAGTGAAAAATAGATTTGGGGCTCAAAACTTGAACTGGAAATGTAGCTTCAGGTCCCTGATTCATTCAGAAGACCTATTTTATAGACACTAAAAAAAAAAAAAAAAAAGCTCCCAAAGCCCTAGAATTTATCTCACATTTTAATACTTCAAGTTGGTGGTTAAGCCAGAAAATCCTGAGATTCCAAATAACAACAGCCAGTGAATTCCCCATTAGCCCAGTTGCAGGAAATGCAGCTGAGCAAAGCAGGGAGACCAGCTCCACTTGGGAAAATAGTCTGACAAGCCCATTCAGGAAGGTGAGACCCTATGGGCATGAACCTCAGCAGGTGTGTCAGTGTCAGAGGAGAGGAGAGAATCTGTGTATCCCCCAGAGAGAAATGGGAAAGCAAAGGCAAGAACATTCTAGAAAGCTATGTAATGTGATTCCTCCTCATGTCATGAACTTGTCCCAAAGGCAATCCTGGAATTACTCCTCAATGATACATCGAGCTGCTTCCTGCACATCTCCACTGAATCTCTCCCAATCACCTCAGACTCAACATGTCCCAAAGGGAACTCTCATCTGTGCTCATCCGATGCCTCTCCTGTACTCCCTACCTCAGCTCATTGGTGCCATAATTCACCCAGGATCCCAGGCGGCACCCTGAACACCCCCTCTCGATACCAGGTCAGCCCCTAGCCTCCACCTCCTTCACATCTCTTACACCCGTCCCATCCTCTGTGTCCCCATTGATATTCTGTTAGGTTTCTTTTTTCTTTTTTAAATTTCATGCTGGAGAGGACCCAGACACTAGATCAGGATGAGGATTAGGATTAGTTCAGTTCTGCACCGACTAGACCATTTGCTGACTTGCATGTGAATGTCAACAATCCAGAATGTGCTGATATTGGACCGTTATGTTTTTAGGAACACACTCTGGGGCCGGGGGGTAGGGTGGGGGAGTTTCACTAAGGGAATGGATTTTTCCATATCAACCACTGGGGGAGAAGGAATGGGAAATCAGGAGTAGGCAGTCAGGCCTTTGGCCATGGTGAGGTTCAAGTGACCATCTCTCTCTGGGGCCTTGTGTATGTTGGAGGGTGGGTCCCGGGTCAGGCAGACATGGTTGAGGGTCCTCTGCTGCAAGGAAGGAAACTGGGCCTTTGAGATGATGGGGAGTGTGGATTGGGAGACAGCCATGAAGCAGCCTATCGGGCCCCCTAAAGATGGGCTTGGTTTGAGTCAAGGGTTCCAAGTGTGGCCACATGTTTAATGTTGTATGTTATTCTTATTCCTGAACTTTAGGTTACTCTCATCGTGGGGAGCTGTGAACAGAGTCCAGGCCCCAAGGCCACACAGCACAGGACCAGAAGAGAGCAGAGGCTTGAGATGAGCTGCTCCTGAGGGTGTAAGAATAGACTGCTGACAGTGGCCCAGGGGAAGATTTGAGCAGCAGTGTGGGGCAAGAGGGACAGTGTAGGGGGGACAAGACATGACCAGGGCAGATTTGCAGAGCTTCTGAGTTTGCCCTGAGGATTTCTAGAAATCTGTGGAATGAGATCTTGCTAAATCTGGTTTTCTGCATTCAAATGAGATGAAGGTTCAAGCCATTAAGACCAGGTGAGGACTCCCAGACTGTCCCCTTTATGTCTATACATTCTATGCTAAATGGAGAATTTCTGGGGCATCTGATACTGAAAGTTTTAGCAGCCAGAAACAAAAGGCACTTGCTAGCAGGGGCATCTGCCTCAGAAAGAGCACAGGATTCCAGTGCTTCTGCCTCAGCCTTCCCCAGGAGGTGGCTCCCTGCCCAGTGGGGGTGGGGGTGGCGTCCCCTCTCCCTGGTGTTCCCTGGCTGCAAGCTTGAGGACTGCAGCTCTTGGAAGGCTGGGATCACACACTCCAGCTGAGATGAGGGAGTGGCGAGGAGTCCCCTCAATATAGCATAAAGTAGTCAACACAAAGCTATGCAGCCGGGAGGTGGCCGACAGACCAACACCAGGAATAATTAATGGGGCCTCCAAAGCCTCCATGGGAAGAATTTCTTCACGTGGCCTCAGTCAGTAACCTGCCCTCTTCCTGCCAAAGTCAGGGGGGGGTCTACGGTCAGAGAAGGCAGAGAACGGTCACTGCCAGGGTAGACATGTAAGATGAGTGCTCCTTGTTAGTCCCAGCCCTGCTGAAGTATTTACCGTGACTATGATGGACATGCATAGCCAGAGCCAGAGAAACAAAGCAGATGAACACTCTCCGGAATGCATGACTTAGGGGCACCTGAAAACACACTGAGATTTCCCAGCAATGGCTATGAAGGAGTTGATATGGGGATGGCTTCCGGCCACCGCCGCAAGACCGGGACGGGATGGAGACCTAAGAGCAAGTATCGGACAGCAAGGGCGGAGACAGGCCCGGGACAACATTTTCCTTTGCCTGTTCTGGCCAATGGTTTCACCCCAGGTCCTCGGTGGGTAAACAATACTTAGCACAAGATATATACTACATGGAAATTACCGTTACACAAGACATTCTGCCTATTTAAGGCAGTAAAAACAACCCACCCAACTGATGAAGACTCTGCCATATAACAAGTGTGGATATGGGGTGGGGAGGAAGAGAGGGGGGTCGGAATGTACATGGCCAGGGAATTCTACTCAAGATTGGACTACATTGTTCTTGATGGCCAGGACTACCACGCAATCCAAAGCCATTGGTGATCTAGCAGTGCTGTACCTTTATGTCCTCTGACATGCATAGGGTGACATGCACAGGGACCTGAAGTGGGGTCACCAGCAGCCATCTCCTTGGCACCTCATTAAACTAGGGATGTTTTTGCTGATTATCTGCAGCATCTTGTACAGTTATATAATCCTAGTTGGCCTTGGATTCTGTAATCAGCTTTTCAGAAGTGGGGTATTTTTCTCAAGGCATTATTATTCTATAATACTTTCGGGTTACTTCTTAGTAACAACAGGTGGTTGATTCTGAGAGGGTCTTGGCAACTTTGATATAGAGGGGGCTTTGAAACCAAAGAATGAGACATTAATCAGATATTCCAGAGTCCCTCAACTGGATTTGCTTCAGTTTGTACTCTCAGACCACAGAGTGAGCTAAACACTGACAGCATTCTTAGAGGATGTGTTGCCTCCTTCAAACTTCTTTCTTTGCCAGTAGATGTGGTGCAACGGAAAGCTCCACCCAGACTTAGGTATAACCAGAGATGGCAGGAATCATAACCACAGATAAGACCACAAAAACCTTTCCCTGGCCATTTCTTGGGATCTCTAAGATGTCTACATCCTTGAGCCTGAGGTCACCTCTGTCAAAAAGTGACTGAAGACAGAGTCATCAGAGCAATTTTCTCTGCAGGCTCTTTTTAGTCACAATCAAGTTTCTTCCCACTTCCATGAACTGCTTAGGTGAAGGGATTCCAATTGTGGGAAGTGATGCAGGAAGAAATGAAAGAAGTTCAGGTTGAAAATGAAAGATGCAGTGGCAAGTGTTTATAATCTGGCTTCCGTGTTGCTTATTAACAAGTCATAGGCTATGTGGGTCTCCATGCCCCACAGAGCCTTCCCAGAGACATGACATTCAGGCTCCTTCCCTTCCCTAATTATAGAGAAAAGTGTAGGAAAGATTCTGGTTTGAGAAAAAAGAGGGGAAAAAAGGAAGTAAAAGCACGAAAGGTCAATGTGTACCCTTCCAGGATGTAGGTGTCTGTGGGTCGATGTCCCACAGCCCCATTCCAGCCTCACACATACTGCATGATTGCTGATTATGTCCCCTGCCTCGGGTCTTTCCTAGCACTAGGGAAGCCCACTATGCTTCCCATGCTGCCACCCTTTATTCCCCCAAAGAGGCAAGGCCACCTCCTCCGTCCATGCTCTATCCCCAAAACACAGAACAAGAGCCCTGATTTGGCCACACCCTAGAGAAGGCTTTAGAATGTCATAGGTCCTCCACCTGGAGTCCCTGCTAGTTTGGCCCTGATTTGTCTCTGCCCATATGTGCTGGGAACATGAAGTTTACTTTACTACCTTCCCAAAGATCACCTGGGGGCCAAAAATCCAGATTCCCTGCCTTTTATTTGCTGGAAACCATTTTCCCCCACCAAATAAAATAAAATAACACAATACTTTTTTTCTGGCTAAAGTCAGAATTATCCTTAGTGCAAATATCTTTGCTAATCCAGAAGAATACATTACCCATCTCTGCATTTTTAAATCTTTGCCCTTATATTTGCAAATGACATTGGCAAAACACTGATGCCAACCTTTATTCTGGCTCCTGATCATCTTCATAGTTTAGAGGATGACCTTATAAGAACCAGGAGAGCAAATGGCACCTGATCCTTCTGACAAGTCCTGGCCTTTTAAAGCAGGTCTAGTTGAGGGCCATAGTGAAAGTGGGAATGGAGTGGTTTTCATGAGTTTGTAGCTTAAGTGAGGCGAGCAAGGTGAAGGACGAGAAGCACAAAACCTCAAGTTCATTCCCATGAAATTCTCTTCCACAGGGAAGGAGAGTGGAGGGTAGGGCCATGGAAGGGAAGGGAGAACAGAAGCAAGACCCACTCCTGCCAGGATGGGGTCAGGAAGCCAGGGCCCTGCTCCCACCCTTCATGGGTTCAAGGCCAACTCCGCCACGCAGGGAGGGAGGTTCTGCCCAGCCTTGTTACCCTGGAAGGCTGGAGAAATAGCTGTTTCCTGATTCAGAATAAAAACACAGCCTTAGAAAGGCTTCCTAAACACCAGATGATGGCCTTCTGACATGTGTCATGACCTGGAGTCCTAGGCACAAATGGGCTCATTCTCGCCAGGGACCTGGTCCCGATGTCAGCACTCTAGGCAGAGCACCTTTCAAGAAAGGTCCAAGCAGCGAACCTTGAGGACCAAATGGGAAGGGGAGGAGCCAGTCCAACTGTGTAAGACTAAAAACGGTGAGTCGAGAAACCATCCTTGAAGAAGAGAGGCAGACAAGCCTGGGGACGTGTACTTCCTCAGGGCCCTGCACAGAGAGCTACTCCTTCTTTCTGATGACCTCACACACCAACACATCGCATCTCCCAGTGAGCCTGTATTCGTGAAGCCCACTAAGCTGACCGGGATAAGATTCTTCTATAGAATGGGGGCAGAGAGCTCTTCCACTTACCTCCATCCACACTGGAGAAGCTCTGTGGAAACAAAAGCAGGGCAGAGCGTCACTACACACGTGGGCGGACAATCCCTCATCCATCTAACCTGTCTCTCTCCCCCAGGTCCAGAATTTGACCGTGGTGGGTAAACCCAATGCTCTCTTTTCTTCTGGGAAATTTGTTTGGGATTCTGAAATTTAAGGGAATGTTTTATCATTCCCACCTCATACTGAATTTCTCCCAGGAGGGATTTATGTCAGTTATCCAGCAAATACCCTCGGCTGTGTTGGAGAAAGAAGTGACATCAGAAAATCCCATCTTAAAATTAAATTGGTTGGATTGTTTCTTCGGTCTGGGTACCTGGGCCATAAAATGGAAGGAAGGTCCTGAGATATTCAGAGACTACTGGCTTTACGCAGTCTCTCCTCTGCACTACACGGCACCATCTGTTTCCACAGTGTTTACACTCTGTGTATTTGAAATTCATATCCATTTGATATGGTTTTGCCTCTGGCCTTTTTATAAAGGAAAGACTTAAATTAAAGCCACAGGGAGCAGGTCTAATCTGCTTCATAAGAATTGGCTTTAGAATCCTGAAGTCCAAGGTAAGACGACTTTTCAGGAACCGGGCATATAAAGGGTTTGGACAATAGGTAGATGGGGTTGATTGAAAGGCTCTCCTCTGTGCTTCCCCGCAGACCAGGTGGTCCCACACCTGACTACAGGCCACGGTCAGGGTCAGAGAGCGACCCCCATGGGTCCTCACACACCTGCACCACATTTCTCAGAGCATGGGGCTCAGATTTCTCAGCAGTACTAACAGGTCTCGATTCCATTGGTGCCCATTTGCTAGTGCTTACTTCCCCTTGGATATAATCTGGAGAAATCACATTTGTTTTCTTTACCTTCTGAAAGTCCTTAAAGGATTTTTCTGTCTCCTTTAGTTTCTCTAGGATGATTTGCTCTTTGGCAGATATCTGGGACTCTTCGCTTTCTAGCGCTTGTATTTCCTGCTCCAGCCTGGAAAACACACAAACAGAGAACAGGGTCCTTTATTGTCCTGCCATCCCCAGGCCAGAGAGCAGCTCCTTCCTGTGGGGTGACTTCCTGGCAGTCTCCGTGCCCCATTATAATGCCAAGGTGCCAGGCCAGGGCACCTCACAGAGCACCCTGTGTGTTCAGCTCTGCCACTCCGCAGACAGTGATGGAAGAAAAACCACCCAGAGGGACTACCGCTAGCTCAATGCCACCGCTTTGCAATATGCCTTGGTGTCTCCCCCTGAACTCCGTCTTAATTTGGGGGTAGATATTTTTGCATAGCATAGGGCATAATGGCCAGAGGAAAAGAGCTTCCTGGTCTCCTAGTTATCTCAGAATAACTGTTCTTCTATCAGTTCTTCTAAAGAGGGAAAAGCTAATCTCGCTCAAAGGAAATAATGTTGCCACAGGCTGGTGGCCAATACCCTCCCGAGCCTGCTGTCATCGCCCTCAGGGGCCCATCCTCTTCCGCCCAAAAGAAGGGAAAAGGGACGGGGGAACTGATACAACCGGAACTTTCTTCTGGAACTTTCTCAGTTGTCACGGCCATCCTAGGTATTTTCTGAAAGGGAAATTTGGGTACTGCCGGGAGACTCTGGGAATATTCCAGAACAGTTTCAATCTGGGAGAGGTCTCAGTAACTTATTCTTTCAATGAAATGATAGTATTAACTATTAACGTTTATTGAGCACCAAATCTGTGCCAAGAATGGAGCTCAGAATTCACACAGTGGATTTTATTTAACTTTCCCAATGACCTTTTGAGTAGGGAGTCCCCATTTTACGGATGAGACCAGTAAGGCCTGGCAAGGTTAAGGGGCTAGCTGATTGCTGCAGAGCCTTGAAGCAAGACCTCAAGCCAGAAGTCAAACTCTAGACCCTACTCCTGACCATGGTGCTAAACTCTTACCACATGGGTTCTACAATATCTTGCATAGTTCCTGCCTTGCTAAACATTTCGTAAGTTGGCATACTAGGGTGACATTGTCATGCAGCAATGTCCTTAGGGTTATGAAGGGGTGGATGTTCCCCTGCCTAAAGAATTATTTGGCCTGAACATATTTGTTTGCTCATTCAATTTTTTTTTGAAGATTTTATTTATTTGACAGACAGAGACAGCGAGAGAGGGAACACAAGCAGGGGGAGTGGGAGAGGGAGAAGCAGGCTTCCCACTGAGCAGGGAGCCCAATGTGGGGCTTGATCCCAGGACCCTGGGATCATGACCTGAGCCGAAGGCAGACGCTTAACGACTGAGCCACCCAGGCGCCCCTGCTCATTCAATTTTGCTTTTGGTTTCTTTCCCCTCTATCGTGCTGGGAGCTTTGTGGCAAAATCTGGGCCCCTCTATATCTGTCCCACCACCACCCCCTTCCGTCTTCTAATCTGCTGCTGGGAACTGGCTAACCAAGTCTGTTCAACTAAGACCTAAGATAAAGAGTCCAGACTAAGATCTTCAGAGGGGTAAGGGACACCAAGCTACAGGCATTGTTCCATTTAGGGATGTACTGTGCCCCTCAGAGGTTTCCTTCCTGGGCATCCGAAAAATGACCTCTGGATGGATGAGACTTTGCAGCAATTACTTTGGATTATGAAGACAAGCTCTATGTACAATCATATTCCCTCCAAATGAACATAGATATATTTATCATTTCACTCCCAGTAAAAGTGGAAGTCCTTATAATGACTTAGATAGCCCTAGAGTAGCTAGCCTCCCAGTACCTACATGGCCTCCACTCTGGACAACAAGAACTACTCCTTATTTGCCCATTTGTGCCCCATGTTTTCCCCTCCTCCGAGGAACCCATCTCAAAACCCTAACCATTCTTGAAGTCTTAGCTCACACACCAGCTACCCCAAGAGCCTTTCACAGATGCACCACCAGGAAATAACACTGCCGTCATTTATTAGCACATTATTTTGGTTTATGAGAGGTCTTAGCAAGTCTACTATATGTTCAAGCAGTGGTTCTCAACCGAGGTGATTTGTCCCCCAGGGCATATTTGGCAATGTCTGTAGTCATTTTGGTTGTCCATAACTCAAGGAGAGTGGGGATGGTGCTCCTGGCATCTAGTGGGTAGTGGGGTCAAGGATGGTGCTGAACCCCCCACAATGCCCAGGACAGCCCCCACCACAAAGAATTATCTGGCCCCAAATATCAATAGTGCTGAAGTTTAGCAACCCTAAACCCCATATGATAGCACATAGAAATCATTCATTTCCCCTTCTAGATTATAAATTCATCATGGGGCTGGAGGGCACAAGAGCTCAACATATGTCTATTGAAAGAATCAAAGAAACTAAACCAAGTTGCAAAAAGACACGGCTCAGCCAAATGAGACCTTTAGGATTTCTGAGGCCAGGGTGAATTCTTCAGCAAGCCTGGATTTGAGAGGCTGTGTGCAGGCTGAGATGCAAACAGAATCTACAGGAGATGCGGCCGAGTGACAAAGATAAATAAACAAAAAGATACAAAACTCCTTTGCTGTTCCAGATGTGCAGCAAAATCTTCTACCCACCTCTGTGTAAATTATTCTGGGGGGGAATCAAGGAAAGGGATACAAATGTGCAATAGGAACAATACACATGGGGCAGTCAAATGATCCAGAAACTGGACTTGTTGAATGGGTACAGGAGCATTGGAGGAGGCTTCCTGGGAAGACTGGATGATAGCACTTGCCAGGTGGGTTCTGAGCAGACTGAATCACAGAGGACAGAGTTCCTCAGCAGATATGTAGGACGTGGGTAGAGTCTATTATTCTCAAACATATTCCCTCCCTCCCCTCTTCACCTCCATGGGAAGTGAAGTGGATACATCCCTGACCCACTGATGTTGGTCTTGACCACATGACTTGCTTTGGTCTCATGGTGAGTGAATTGTACTTTCCTGCCCCCAGATTATGGGCTCAGCCATGTCATCTGCTTTAGCCAATGGGATGTTAGCAGACACAACAGAGGAGAGGCTTGGAAGGTGCTTGCGCATTTGGGTCTGTCCTTTTGTGCCTTGCTAGCACCAAGAAAAGAGCTTCTCTGTTCAATGGCTGTCCCTTCAGCCTTGGCCCCAGGAAAAACACATAGGGAGTAGACTGGAGCCCAACCCAAGTCAGACACCATGCCCAGTTGATCCTATACCTGAAATTAGAGTTGCTTAGCAGAGCCCAGCCTAGATCAGCAAATACCCAGGGTAGTCACTGAAGTATGAGCAATAATAAGTGACATTCATTTTAAACCACTGAGTTTGAGAGTAGTCATATAGTACTATTGTGGCAACAGCTAATACAGATCAAATATTTATATATTATATGGGTATATATTATATATGTATGTATTATATGCTATACACATGTGAATATATATATCCTAATAAAACATATCCCAATAATATATATAAATTTGTAATATGTGTGTGTGTATCCCAATAATGCCTGAAGCTTTAAGATTAGAAAGAATATAATCTACCCCTGCTCCACGTCCCCCAATCCTCAGAAAAATCTGGAGTGATACAGGGCCCTCACTCATGAGGACTAAGATGAGAAAACAGGAAAACATCAGTGGTAGTTGCCTTTGGGTAATGGGATATTGGGGAATTTTAATTTGGTTCTTCATAATTTTCAATATTTTCCCAATTTTTAAAGGAATCATGTATTCCTTGTCTAACCAGAATAAAACCAATAAATGGCTTTTTAAAGAACCCTCCTTTGGCCTTGTGCTGAGAAGGCAGCATTTCATAGCCTGGGGCATGGGAAGGGAGCCTGCTTCTTCCATGTCCCTGAAGGGTTAAATGGGCACACTCCAACTTGGATTTCCATTCAACTCAACCAACATGTACGGACCTCGTGCAGCTGGACTCAGAGCTAGGCACTTCAGAGGATTCTAAAATAAACAAAATCATGTTCAGAATGGCTGACTGAAAAAAGGCGAGGCGGGGGGGTGAGGGAAGGCTGACTCTAAGTAGCTCATGTCTCCCAGTGAAGCAGCCCCAGGTGGTTAAGAATTCTCTGTGGACGGATGCCCACTGGCTGGCCGACTGTCTCCACAGCTTGCCCCCGGCCCTGTGGGTTTCAGGGCTCTCAGCTATATAGTTTAAGCACTAAAGATTTGGGTCATGATACTGCGTAACTGAGAAGCGGGAGAGAGAAAGAGGGAGAGAGGGTGAGAGGAAGGGAGGGAGAGAAAGCAACAAAACGAAACTTTCGCAGGAACAACAAATGAGTTTCCCTCAAAGGGGATGAATGTGGGAAATCGACAGTTTATGTAAGTCCAGGCAGGTCAGATCTGAATAGCAGATTTCTCTACAAACGCACATGTGGGCTGGGGCCAGGTCCTGAGGGCGCTGAATGGCCCAGGCCGCTATCGCTATCGTTCTGTGGAAAACCTAAGTCTCGGAGCCAGGGAGCGTCCCAAGAAACGGAGTGTCATGGGGTTAATAAGAGTCATCTCAGCCAGCTAGAGACGCCACTGCTTTGTAGTTTCATGACTGAAACCTAATGCAGTCTTCCCTGGAGGAGCCAAGGAGATATTGCTGAGCTAAAAATAAAGAATGGGCAGGAAGTGTAATTTATACGCAAGGTTAATCGAGGCTCTTTAGGCTGAGACAGGTGCACATAGCAGCCTCTGACCGGCTTGCTCAATTTCTTCTGAGCACAAAGCAAACTGTAATGGGCGGTAAGCAGAGGTGACACACTGCCTCTGTGCAGGCTTAATTTACCAGAGGTAAAGTTGCAATCATGGCCAGATGGTCTTATAAAATCTACCTAACCCTAACGGACCTCCCTCGCAGGAAAATACGAAAGACCTACGGCTCTGTGAGGTGCATCAATCACTCTCATTTCAAAATCCATTTATGCATTAATCCACACAACCTTCTGCAAGCCCCTTCATTCTATAAGGCACTGCGCTGAGCATCAGGGACGGAGAGTGAAGTCAGCCAGGTTGTCTGCTCCCGGGAGCTCTTGGCCAAGTGACCATAATAGCCAGGTAAACACA